GCACTGTGTCAGACCCGGGGGCTTATGAACCCTTGTCTGCTTCCCAACTCCCAGGCCAGAGGTCTTTGATCTCCCTGGCTTCCTGGCATAGTCCAAGCAGTAACAGAGAGCCATTCCAAGGCGCTCGGCCCCCAGTTAGACACCTTCATAAGGGCTGTGCTTTCCCATTCTGGGCCCCAGGCTGGGTGCCCTTGTCTCCATGCACCCTGAGAGCAGTCAAGTTAACTGTCCCAGCCTCTTGCCTGCCAGGGGAAGCTCTTGGGCTGGAGCAGTTTGCCTGGCTTTTGCATGGGAGTTGCCTGTTCCTGTCCTGCCTGCTGCTCTCCCTTTTTCTCTGACTGTACCAGCACATGCAGCAGTGCGTGACACTCCGTACCGAGCTGTGGGGCGGGGGCCCCTTGGTATGGTCTGGGGCTGGCTTGCACCAGCTGTGCTGTGGTGGGTTAACCTAGGTTGGGTCATGGCTGGGGAGGGTACAGTGGGACAGCTCCCAGCCTGGTGTCAGCAAGCATGGCTCCTCTCGCTACTCCACAGGGCAAGGGGCTCTGTTGTAACAGGTGTTGTCCTTCCACTGAACCATTGAGCCAAGCTCCCTCTGCCCCAGGCAGGGAGAGAGATCCGGGGGAGGACCCCAGTGCCCTGGTTGATGTTCCCCTGACACACGTGGCTTAAGCTGGGCTGGTGGTGGTGGCGGCAGCCACATCCCCTCCAGTCTCCCTGCCGGGCCAGAGCTTGCCGGGGAGCCCACAGCATTACAGACGCGTGTGACCCAGCTTCTTCCGCTGTGTGCTTGCAGACACGATCTTCTCCCGTGTGGAGGAGGAGCATCTCTGGGAGTGTAAGCAGCTGGGGGTGTACTCCCCCTTTGTCCTCCTCAACACCCTCATGTTCTTCAACACCAAGTTCTTCGGCCTGCAGACTGCGGAGGAGCACATGCAGCTGTCCTTCACCAACGTGGTGCGCCAGTCCCGCAAGTGCACTACAGCCCGGGGCACCACCAAGGTGGTGAGCATCCGCTACTACGCCCCCGTCCGGCAGAAAAAAGGGCGAGGTAGGGGCCTGCACGTGTCTGTCTCCCCACCCCTGCCCTGTGTGTGCACTGCTCTGACTTGGCCTCTCTCTGCAGACAGCAGTTCTGGGAAGCGGAAGCGAGAGGAGGAGCTGCCGATCCTGGAGCAGCGGGAGAACAGGATGAACCCGCTCCGGTGCCCGGTCAAGTTCTATGAATTCTATCTCTCCAAATGGTGAGTCTCCTAGGGAGAGGAAGCCACCATCCATCTGCCGGGGTATCCCCTGCATTCCTGCAGCCCCGTGTGCCCAGTCTGGCCCCTTGACTGGCTGGAAGGACATTGTGGAGCAGCCCAGCTGCCCCCGACATGTGCTGCCTTTGCAAAGAGCTGTGCAGAGCACTGACTGCCAGGGCCCTGCCAGTGAAGCAGGAGGCATGGGGTGTGTGTCTCCAGGGGCTGGTTTCTCACATCCCCAAGTCCTGTCTGTGTCTGCCATTGCTGGAGTGCTGTGATCACAGCTCTAGGGCTGAGTAACTCGTCTCAGTGGGCGCCACCCTCAGTGGGCATTCTTACGACGAGGTTTAAGAGAGAACTGGTTAAATTCATGGAGGCTAAGTCCATTAATGGCTATTAGCCAGGATGGGTAAGGAATGGTGTCCCTAGCCTCTGTTTGTCAGAGGGTGGAGATGGATGGCAGGAGAGAGATCACTAGATCATCACCTGTTAGGTTCGCTCCCTCTGGGGCACCTGGCGTCGGCCACTGTCGGCAGACAGGGCACGGGGCTGGATGGACCTTTGGTCTCACCCCGTCTGGCTGCTCTCATATCCCTCCCTCCCCTCAGATTGGCAGGAGGAGGTTGCTGAGGTGCCTCGGGACCCCCCACTCCTGCCTGCCATGAGCACTGTCCTGGGTCACCTTGGGAGAGGAGCTCCAAGCCCAGCTCATGGGCCTTTCCCTGCAGTGCTAGTGTCTCCTTTACAGACGCTCAGACGAGTGGGCTCTAGGCCTCTCCTGGGTGAATGGGGGGGCACCGGGGCTTGCTGGGTTCCAGGTCAGGAGGGAAGGACCCTATGGGCTCAGGATGGCTGAGGAGGCCAGGGCTCTCTGGGCTCTAGGGTGAGGTTCACTCTGCCCCCCTCTTGCCACAGTCCAGAGAGCCTGCGGAACCGGAACGACGTCTTCTACCTGCAGCCAGAGCGGTCGTGCATTGCAGAGTCGCCTCTCTGGTACTCGGTCATCCCCATGGACAGGAGCATGCTGGAGAGCATGCTGAATCGCATCCTGGCCGTCCGGGAGATCTACGAGGAGCACAGCCGGGGCAGCAGCCTGGAGGAGGACATGGACTGAGCGCAGGCCAGGGCTGGAGCATGGTCAGGCGGCACCCAGGGCCCGCTGGGCTGGGTCTGCTCTGGCCTGGGAAGGCATCTCCCCTGCTCCTCCTACCTGGCCAGGGTTGCGGCATGTGAGTGTGGCATGGCATGGGGGCGTAGTGCCGCTCCCAGCCCTGCAGAAGTGGTAGCACTGTCCAGCTCAGTGCGTGTAGGACTCTGAACATCCCTGCCTGATGCTAGTAACCTGCCGTCCCCCTCCCACATCAGCCCCCTGGCACCCAGGCCCTTCCTGTGCTCTGCCTGACTGAGGCAGTGTCCCACCTTCTCCCGCCTTCTTCCCAGGGGTGGAGATCCAGAGCCAGTCCCTCTCCCAGCCAGGAGCCCCAAAGGGCACTGGGCCGGTGAGCCCTGCCTGTCCCCTCTCCCCAGGGCTGTTCTCGGTCTCTCCCTGCCTGGTGTAACATGAACACCAGGCTGTGGGGCCATGGGGAAGAGACTGCTCAGTGCAGTGGGGACAGGCTGGGCCTAGTAGCCCGCACAGGAGGCCCTGAGCCTACAGTCAGCTCCCTGCCCAAGCAGCAGGAGTGGGGAAGGGAGCCATGCGCAGCACGCAGGGCCCTGGGAGGAGCTGTGCCAGCCGGGGTAGCAGGGCCATTCCCAGAAGCTGAGTCTATTGGCTGGACCATTCCCATCTCTGCTGGAGGGGGCTGTGTTCCCAGAGGGCCCTGGCTGTGCTGTCTCTGGCTCATCTCATTCTCCTCTTCAGCAGCACAGAGGTCAGTGCCCAGGGGGCTCCTGGGATCTCCCTTCCCCAGCTCTGCATTAGCTGTGGCTTCACCCTGCATTGTGCACTCACAGCAGCCACTGGGGGCCGTTGAAGGTCTGAATTCTGCATCGGGCATGGGAGCCAAGGGGCATCCTCGCTGCCAGGGCTGAGGAGCAGGGACCCCTCCCTGCCCCCCAAGCTGTAGCAGAATGGATGGTGCCCCCGTTGCTAGCCTAACACTATCAGATGGAGGAGGTAGCCTCTGTGCCTGGACTCATTGCTGCTGGGCCCGTCTCCTCCAAGCCTGCATTAGACTGAGAATTCTGCGGGGCCGCACCAGGCCAGAACTTGCGAGCAGTGGAGGGGGGCCGCAGGTCAACGAGGGAGTGGAGGCTGCCTGGGTCTCTCTGATCGCCCAGCCCCTGCCCCAGCTTTGCTGTTCCCTTCTGGCTCCCTCCCCTTGGTGTTTTGTTTTGATTTTTTTTATCAGCTGTCAATGGGACTCGGCACTGTCTGTTGAGTCTGTATATATTGTTCTGGGACCTGGCCCGGGGCCCTCTGTTTCCATGTCAAGAGTGAGCCAGTCACCGGTCTTGTTGTAGTGCTAACGGGGCGTTAGGCTAATCTTGTGTCTCTAGCAACCATTCATTTCAAATAAAGACGCAAAAACCTGCCGGCAGCTGCTGTCCTTAATCCACTGAAGGGCAGAGCAGGGACTGCCTCTGCTCCAGGGAGGAGGCTAGGGCCGCTGCCCCCTTGCCTGTCTCAAGGGCTCAGTCATCAGGGAGTTATGCCTGATCCCTGTCACCTTGCCCCTGCCATCCATCCCAGGGTCTGTGCCGGATGTAGGACCAGATCTGGCAGCTCACCTGCCAGGGCACCCTATCCAGCAGCTGGGAGCTGTAATTCCCAGCATGGGTCGATCTGCGAGCTCTGCCTGCGGTAGGGCCTAAAGCTGTGTGGCCATGGTGGCCTGTCGCTTCTGGCATTAGAATCTACGAATTGTGGTGGGAGCAGGCCCGGCCTTCATGTGGAGCGGGAGAGAGGCCCATGGCCTTCCTGCCTCCATCTCCTGTGAGCTAAGCAGGGAGTGGCCATGCTGTGCCCTTGAGGGAGTGAGGGGCAGCCTGTGTGCAACACAGCCTTCTCCAGAGGCTACAATTCTGCAGCTGGCAACCTGACCAGTCCTGCATGGGACCAGAGGAGAGTGTGGACAGGAGACAGCCAAGCAGCCCTAGGTCCAGGTTCACGGAGCCTCCCTGCAACGAGCTGAACTTGTTCTAGTGCTGGGGGGCTGAAATGAAATGGTGGGCCCTGCAGGCGCCATCTCTCCAGCTGCTGTTGGCCTTGGAAGAAGCTTCCTGCGCTAGCCCTGGTTCCAGCTGCAGTGATGGTCCCTTCCCTATGTTACTATGGCGATCATAGCAACACCTGCAGCAACCTCCCTGCCCACGTGACCCTCCTAAGGCTAAGGCAAGTGACCAGAGAGGATGAGACAGAACTGCAGTCCAGAGGTCGCTTCCTTGTAATGTAGCCCAAGCCTGGATCCTTCTCTCCCTTGTCCCCACAGCAAAGCCCAGGAATCCTGAAGGCTGCAGGGAGGGGCCTCTCTCATTCAGTGCAGAGCGAGAGCCTGGATCCTTCTTGGGGAGAGCAGAGACTCTGTCCAGCAGGAAGTTCCCTTCCTTCCCCTTTGCTGTGGCCCTGCACGCAGATACCCTGGGCAGGGGCAGAGAGAGCAGCAGTTTAGGACTGAATTCCCCTCTCCTGCTAGGGGTCTGTGCCTTGGCTACGGGACAATGTGCCTGCCTTTTGCAGAGCTCACGTCATCTTGTTCCACTTTTCACGAGAGAGAAGTCAGTCTTGTCACAGCAGGAGGTGCCCAAGTACAGGGTTCAGTGCAGCCTTGGAAGGAGTCCAACAGCTGTAGCTGCTGCTGAAACCTCAACGTCACCTGAATATCACAGCTGCAGTCTTTGCTTTCCCACACACGTTGCCCTGGGAGGTAGAGATGGTTTGAGAGTCGCCGCGGCTGGGGCACAGGGCTGGGGAAGGAGCCACATGGCTAGGATGCAGTGGTAGTGGGGCCTAGGCCTTCCTGCTTGGAGCAGCTCCATCTTCCCTGACAGGCTGTTACACCAGCAGCCTGCAAAGCTGTGGACCATCCAGCAGGGCCCCAGGTGCGTGGCAAAGGCTATGTCCAGTCCCATTCTCCTTGCTAGGGCCTGGAAGGGTCTCTTGGCCCTGAGCAGCCATCTACTGTGAGTCTCTGCTGTGGCCTTCCTGAGCTCTGCTACTGCCTAGGAGCAAAAGGGGGGGGGGGTGCTCTCCACCTAGAAAAGGGGAAACACCAGTGGGGCTGCCCAGGTCCAACACAGCCCTGAGGCCTTGTCACATGGGAAAGGAAAAGTTACAGGCCCTGCCTGCGTCCTATCAAGTGTGGAGCTTACCCCTCTCGGCTCCCTGCCTCCTGCCCCTGACAGCCACAAGGCTGCTGCAGAGCCACTGAGGGGAGAGGGCTTGAGCTGTGCACGTCTGGCCCAGGTTTCAGGCTCCTGGACACTGGTGTCTGTATTACGGGCCCAGTATTTCCATGGTGTGGACAACATGGCATCCATGGAAACACAACGGGCTCCTGAGCCGAGCTGTGCTCCCTGTGATGCAGCCTCGCGGTAACAGTGCTTGTCTGGAACAAGAGCCCCCTTCCCCTGCCTGTCAGCTCTGGGCCAGTGCATCCGGCTCTCAGTGCAGGGCTGGGCCGCCACAGTTAAACAGCCAAGTCACTGGGTCTCAGCTTAGTGCTAGATTTACTGGACCTGCTGCCCTGCTGCAATGGTTCTTCCATGGCCAGGCCCTGGTTGCCTGTCTCACGGCTGCTCCATGCTACACGGCTGTCCCTGCCCGCAGAGGGAGCTGTTTGGCTGGCGTACAGCTGCAATGGAAGGCTGGGGTCAGCAGGATGGGGAAGGCTGTTGGCCACAGGACAGTGGGGAATGTGGTGGTCGCTTGTTTCTCTGGGAGTGTTGGAGCTGGCCTTGGGGTCGGGCGCCTGGCAATGGTTGGCTGCCAGCCCCTGCCTGCACTTGGTGGAGCCCAGGTGGTACATTTCTATCAGATTGAGGAGCAGAGACAGGCAGGCCACCCCCGTCATGAAGAGGACAAAGATGGTTTTCTCGGTGGGCCGGGCTATGTAGCAGTTAACTGTGTTGGGGCAGGGCCAGCGGTTGCACGTGTAGAGAGGCTTTAGTTCAAACCCATACAGTGCGTATTGGCCCACAATGAAGCCCACCTCAAAGAGCATCTTAAAAACAATGTTGCAAATATAAGTCCTCAGAATGGCCCCCTGCAGGCGGATTTTGCCATGAACATCTTTGATGGAAGATTTATGCTGCACCAGGGGTTCCTGCTGGGCCACCCAAGTCTCCTCTCGCTGCTGCTCCTTCTCCGCCATGCGCACCAGATGCAGGATGTGGCCCAGGTACACGAGGCTGGGGGTGGAGACAAAGATGATCTGCAGCACCCAGAAGCGGATGTGAGAGATGGGGAAGGTTTTGTCATAACAGACGTTCTGGCAGCCTGGCTGCTTGGTGTCGCAGGAGAAGCCCGACTGTTCGTCCCCCCAGACTTTCTCGGCAGCTGCCCCCAAGACAAGGATACGGAAAATGAACAGGACAGTGAGCCAGACCTTCCCCACCACTGTGGAGTGCTCCTGAGCACTCTCCAGAAGCCTCCCCAGCAGGTTCCAGTCACCCATGAGTGCAAATACCGGCTCATCCTAAAAGAGAGGAACATGCCCAGACATCGGCATCCCAGAGACTCCGGCACCCTGCACTGCTCCAGACCTGTGAGAAGCTGGCATGGGGGCACCCTGCACTGGGCACGTCCCTACAGCAGAGCCCTCCCCGGCCCTGCTGCACACACCAGCATCCGGAGCTTCCTCCCTCGGGTCCCAGAACAGCAATGCCTGATAGCCAGATACAGCGCACAGCCATGCTTGCCTTTTGTGGCCAGGGATGTGTTTGTATAAGCCATGTGCCTGGCTCAAGAACAAAGCCAGGGCAGGGAGTGGGTTAACCTGAGGCTACCTGAGCCCATCAGCTGCCTGTGGCTGCAAGACCCCTCCAGGATTAACCCCTGTTTGGCCCTGGTATCCTGCTTTAAGAGCACTGATTGCTGGGGACTGGCTCTGCGGTGGCCCCAGGTTCAGCACAGCTCAGCTCTGTTTCTAGCTCTGCAGCAGCCTCTCAAGGCAGCTGGAAATCAGTGGCCTCCTAGACAGAACAGCTGAGCAGGTCCCTGTGGAGGAAGCCAAGTGGCTGGGCAGCAGGGGGGAGCCTGCACTGCGCTTCCTCTTCTAGGGATTAACCCAGGTTGAAAGCTCCAAGGCTAGAATTCAAGTCAAAGCCATTCTGCTCAAGCCCTTTACCTGGGGCTCGCAAAGCGCTGCCCGGTGAGCCTGTCCTGCAGCACGGGCAGCTGAGGTAGACGCCTAGCCCAAAGCTGCTCCCTGCGCAGCCAAGGCCACGCAAGGGCAAGTCTGGGGCAAAGGGCCGGGGTTTCTCCCACAGACAAATGGAGGGCAGGGTCGGGGCCCATTTGTGCTCATTGGAGCAGACGCCAGTGCCTAGTGCCATGAGACCACAGGCCAGGCAAAAAATAGACACTCCCTCACCGTTTGCAGATCCTGTGGCCGTGGAGGCAACTCCGCTGCTCCGTGCCTCTTGCGTAGTAGATCCCCGCAGCCCCAGCAGGACGTGTCCCCACTCCTCTTCTGGGGGCAGAAGTGTCCGGCTGGTCTCTGGCAAGGGGCAGGCGTGTGAGTCTGTCTGTCTGTCTGTCTGTCTGCCGAGCGTGTTTTATGCAGGTTATGTTGGAGCAGGCGCTTCATGGCTGTCCCTGTGACTGACCGCGGAAACAGCCACTGGGAAACCTTTTTACCTCTTTATTTTTGGCTTGAGCACATTTCTAAATATAATCCCTACTGCAGGGAAGGGTGTCAGGACAGCAAGTTGGGAGAGCTCTCTGTGACCGAGCCCATGCAATTCACTGGCTCTGGCCGCCTCAATGCCATTGGAGGGTCATTTTCCTGACCGACCTGCTCCATGCGCTGCTGGGCCTGGGGGCCTCTGCAAATGCCCCATCTCTGACGCCATCCTCACACGGTGCCTTGGGCTCCTCCACGCAGAGGGAAGGCTTTGCCTGAGTTGGGGGGGACCATGCCCCAGTATGCGGGCATGGCCAGTGCAGCCCTTGGCGCATCCCAGCTGGGGTGCACTCCAGTCAGAGCCCTGTGCTGCAGTCGCACAACAAAGCTCAGCGGACCAGTGCCCCCTGGGATCCTGCACAGGGAAGGGTGGAGGCTTGCAAAGCCCTCCTTGCCCTTCTCGCTGCAGTGGGGCATGCCCCCTTGTTAATATTTATAATGTAAAGGTGAAGTTAGCTGCCCCTCCCCTTCAGTTTGTAGAAGCTCAGAGGGCAGGGAGACTGGGTGGTTGGGGTTCTGGGGCTCAGCCTGCCCCGTGAGATCCACGAAATACCAGACACATCCCCAGCATAAACCCTGTCCTGGGCCAGCTGTGGGACGGCCCCCTCTACCTGTTCCAGGGCACAGCCTGGCTACATGCCCACACGCTGCACCCCCAGTAGCAGGGACACCAAGCCCAGGCGCCAGGGACACCTCCTGCAGTGACTGTTCTGACCCAGGGCAGAGCAGGTCCCTGACCTCTGGCTAATAGCCATCGATGGACCTGTCCTCCAGGAATGTCTCATTCTTTTCAGAGTGGTAGCTGTGTTAGTCTGTATCAGCAAAAACAATGAGGAGTCCTTGTGGCACCATAGAGACAAACACATTTATTTGGGCATAAGCTTTTGTGGGCTAGAACCCACTTCATCAGATGCATGCACTCCATGCATCTGATGAAGTGAGTTCTAGCTCACGAAAGCTTATGCCCAAATAAATGTGTTAGTCTCATGCTTTTGTGAACCCAGTTATCATTTTGGCCTGCTCAGCATCCACTGGCAACAAGTTCCTACATTGACTGTGCATTGTGTGAAGAAATACTTCCTTTTGTTTGTTTTAAACCTGCTGCCCAGTAATTTCATTGGGTGCCCCCTGGTTCTTGGGTTATGCGAAGGGGTAAATAACACATCCCTAGGCACTTTCTTCCCCCCAGGCATGATTTTATAGACCTCTGTCAACTCGCCCCTTAGTCGTCTTTTTTCTGAGAGACAGTCCCAGTCTTTTTCATCACACCTCATACGGAAGCTGCTCCACACCCCTCATCATTTTTGTTGCTCTTCTCTGCACCTTTTCCAATTCTAATATTGCTTTTTTGAGAATGGGCAACCGGAACTGCACACGGTATTCAAGATGTGGGCATACCATGGATTTATATAGTGGCAATATGATTTTTACTGTCTTTAGCTATCCCTTTCCATTGGTTCCTAACATTCTGTTCGCTCCAATGCACACAGTGCATTGAGCGGATGTTTTCAGAGAAATATCCTCCCGCCCAGGAACAGAGAATGGTGGCCCATGAATGTCAGTGGAAGGACACTGAAACAACTGGAAATGGACAAGAGCAAGGCACGAGTCACTGGGGCCTTAGGAAAAAGCATTTGAACAGCAGGTTTGGAAGGGAGGCGTTTTCATGCAGCACTCGGGGGAGTCTGGCGGCGGAAGGCTGGTTGTGAGTGCTGGACCCCCCTGAGCTGGGGCCTCCTGCTGGGAAACTGAGGAAAGGGATTTGTATCTAATGTGACCCTGTGAAGCCTGAGGGCGCAGCTGTGGCTATTCCCTGGGTAGCTCGGACGTTTGGCCCTCTCACTAGTTCAGTTTTGAATCTGTGACTTTTCTGTTCAATACTTTCCTGTTTATTTTCACCCCAGGCAAACTGTGTGGTGGGTGTGCCAAGGCATGCAGGGGCTGAGGGCTGGGTTTGAGCCTGGCCAGGCAGGGAGCCAGCCCGTGTCTGTTCCATAAGAACGCAGGACATATGGCTTTTGGGAGATGGGTCACCCTGCAGAGTGCCGAGGCGGGGGAAAGCCGGGGGGACCTTGTGTTGGAGGGCAGGTGACTGGTGTCAGGGAGCTGATGAGTGCAAAGGCCACAGGGCAGGTGGTGAGGAAACCCCTGTCTGGTCTCGGTGGTTCCCAGGATGTCAGCCTCTCCTGGCTCTGCAGCATTGGGGCTGGCCACGGCTGGAGATGGAGCCGGGGCGGGCAGGTAGGGCTTGGAGGTGGCCCTGAGCAGTCTCTCTCTCAGGTGCATGGCAGGCTGGTTCGTGCTCACATGCCCATGGCTGTGATCACTGTGTGGGGGCCGGGGGGGGGGGGGAGGGGGGAAGGAATTTCCCCCAGGTCAGACTGGCAGGAATGTTGGGTTGTTTGCCTTCCTCTGCAGCCTGGGGGGAGGGGGGGGGGTTTCTCTGGGTCTGCGTCACTGACTCATTTCCCTGCCATTGCCGGAGCCTCGGGCATTGCCCCCCATGCGATCTCTGCCTGTGGGCTGATTGCAGCTGCTGGGTGGGGCCAGGGTAACAGCAAAACCTGCATCTGGCACGTTTCCGAAACCAGTAGCCATTACCGTCAGGTAAGTCATGGCATGGGGCAGGTGCGGTCTGGTGGCTCAGGAGCAGGGGGGTTGGGGAGATGGGGAGGCTGGAGCAGGGTGGGAGGGCTAGGGGGCTATTGGTGCCACAGCAGGGTAGGTGACGGGGGCTGCATGCTGGCCCAGGGCGAGGTGCTGTGGGGGCACCATTCTCCTTGCCTGCAGCCTGCGTAGCGCAGACACCCTGCCAGGGCGTGGGTCAGCCTCGGCAGCTGGGGAGGGTGGTGCCCTGTGCTCTGCAGGCGCCCTGAGGCCTCACTACCCTATACCCAGCGGGGCGGGTAAGTGGCCGACTCGGCCCAGCAGCAGGTGTGAGCCAGCCTTGCCCTCCTGTAATCTGGGCTGGGGTTAGCGTCAGAATGGGGCAGGGGCTGGCTGCTGTGGGTGTGCGGGGCCCCATGACACTTGGCAGGACTTGGTGTCTCCCTCAGCCCCTCAGTGTGCCCTATCCCCTGGCTCATGCCAGTCTCTGTACCTGCGGGGCACTGCTTGCCCCCAGCATTTCTGTGGCCAAGAAAGTGCCTGGAGCCATGCAGCAGGCTGGGAATGTGTTGCTGCCTCCCGGGGCTGCCCGGTGCCCAGGGACAGCGACTGGTGCCAGGCTGCTCTCTGGGCAGAGACAAGGCCCTTGTATCTGCTCAGTGCAAGGGCCAGTTGTGGTGACCATGCTGCCCTGCCCTCCGCAGCCCTGTCTGTCTGGGGCAGGTCGAGGGGCTGCATGTGCGGCCCAAGTGTGGTACTGTCAGCAAGGGGGCAGGACAGGCCTGGGCTGGGCTATGTCCCTGCTCCACACCACGCAGCACCCTGCATGCTCCACGGCCTCAGCTGCATGGAGCTCTCCCAAGCGTGGTGCCCCCGTCCTCTCCTCCAGCATGGTGTCCCCCCACACATGTAAGGCTCAGTGCCTCCTTTGCCCTCCCCTCAGGGGCCCCATGTCCAGCCAGCCAGGGGAGAAATTACCTCGTAAAACCATTCATGAAAATGAAAGACTCATACAGCTGAGTCCGCCCCAGCCCCAGGCTAGCAGAGAGCAGCCCCCTTTGCTGATCTGCCCTCCAGGCTAGCATGGAGCAGCCCCCTCTGCTGAGCCCCACCCCAGCCCTAGGCTAGCAGGGAACAGCCCACCCTGCTAAGCCTCCACCCAGGCTATCAGGGAGTAGCCCCTCCCCCAGCTTCTGAGGGGGTCCCTTGATGTCTCCCCTGAGCCCCAACTCTGGTGGCTGTTGCCTGTGGTGAGCAGGTGGGCTGGGTGCCGACAGGCCCTGCCCCAGGGCTATGCGGCACAACCTGCGGGCTGGGCTGCCGTGGGATCCCTGGCCTGTGAGCATGCCTCACCCACAGGGCTGGGGGGCAGGACTGTATTCACACCTGCTCACTATTGGAATCACCTTTTGCGCAGGAATCCTGTGAAAACTCATCTGCTGGTCAGTAGCATCCTGGTAAAATGTGCAGTGGTAGGGTTCCCCTGGATGGTGCTTAGCACATGTTCCACAGCCAGCCCAGGCAGACAGGTCTGTCCTACACAAAGGAGCACACTCTGCTTCATTTGTCTTTAAGCAGGAAACAGAATCATCAAGCAGGCAGGGAAATGAAGCTCGAACAGGTAAGAAAAAAACAGCAAGGAACATCCTTCCATCTAGACATTTTGGGGCTCCTGGTGCCAGCTGGAAATGTTTTTGGAGGGCCAAACACCCCAATGTGCCTCCCCTCTGCCCCTCAATCACATTTACTGCACCTGAAGAGCAGAAGGAAGCAGCTGTTGGACTCTGGGGAGGGTCCTGACCTGAGCATTTGGACAGTAATCTGCTGCAGCATGTGGTGAGAAGCTTTGCTTGACTCTGCTGTAGTTTGTTAAACGAGGCACCACCAAACGGCTTCTCTTTAGTTTCTTCTAACCATTTCTGACTTTTATGCCTTGTTACTTGTACTCACTTCAAATCTCTCTCCTTGTAGTTAATAAACATGTTTGGCTATTTTATCTAAGCCAGTGTGTTTAAGTGAAGTGTCTGAAGAACTATCTAAGGTAATAGACTGGCCTATTATTCCTTTAAAGGAATATTGGACTTAATATATTTGCACCGTCCGGGCCAGGGCTGGGCATACAGAATGTACATTTCTGGGGGAAGATCCAGGACTGGGGGTGTGCTGGGGTCACCTCGCAGTGTAACCAAGACTGGTGAGAGCCAGGGTGTGGCTGGCTGGGTGCAGTTTCACACCGACACTCAGGGGGTGCCCTGCATGCTGGAGGCTATTCGTGAGTGGCCCAAGTGGGAGCTGCTACAGCAAGGCACCCAAGGTTGCAGGGCAGGGGTGACACAGCCCCCAACTAGTCTGGATTGTGCCCTGGTATGTCACAGAGCTGGGCTTTGAAGTGGTCTCTGGCCTGTGAGTGTGCCCCGTTGAGCAGGGGGCAGAGGGGTCTGGGACTTACATGTGCAGTGAGATGGGGCCTGGCCCTGGGGGAGAAAGCTGTCCTGCTGTGCATGCTGCTGGAGAGGCATCCCATGCTGTCCAAGGATGCTCACAGGCTGCTCACAGACCCTGGGCGCTCTGCACGCCTTCTGTCAGCATTACGGGGCTGGACAGGTCCGAGCAGCCCCCGGATACCACACTGGCCTGCAGGACACAGGGGAAGGGCCTGGCTGCCGTGGTGGGATGCCCGGAAGGCTTGGCAGCTGTCGGGGGGGGGGGGGGGGGGGGGATGCAGCTCCCTGTTCAGTGTGTGCTTGGCCCAGCCCCAAGCAGGACAGGAAGGAGCTGGCCCAGCGGGCTGACCTGGCGAGGTTTGGGGGGGCCTGCAGTCCCGCTGCCCCAGGGATCCTGAGCCCTCACCAAACCCCCGGTGACAGAGAGAGAGAGTCAGCTCCTGAGATACAGCTTTAATGGCCTACACCTCTGGTACTCCAACCGCCAGGCCTCACCTGGTGTTCTCTGCCGCAGGAAACTGACCCTCGCTCGGACCCACTGGCTGGGCCCCGCAGTGGGGATGGCTCCTTTCCCTCTGGGAGACAGGGCCTCTGTTGGGGGCACCAGTACGGCTTGGGGGGCATCACACAATGAATTAAGGCAAATTCTGAGAGCTCTGCAGCTACCCCAGCCCTTCTAATGGGTTTCAGGGTGTGAAAAGGACTTGGCTTGTGTGTGGCTGGGGGCCCATGGCAGTGGGGGGTGAAGGGCTTGGCACGACACCGTGCGCAAGTTGGCAGTGTCCTAGGGCCAGAGCTCAGGCAGTTGTGAGTGTACCAACAGGCTCCGTTCAATGCTCATCTCCCGCCAGAGCCTGTCCCCCATGGCTCCCGGTGGAGGGCTGAGGGGTAGGGGCCTTGTGTGCCAGGGCCCCACCCAATGGAGCTGGCGCCTCTAGCAGGCGGAGCAGCGATCGCTCTTCTCCTGCAGCCCCGGATTGCGACGCAGCATGTCCTTGAGGGAGCTGTCCTGCTCCGTCAGCAGCTGGTTGATCTCATTCTGCTTGTACTCGGGGGAGAGCTTGTGGCCATATAAGGAGCTCTTCCCTGATGGGGGGTTGGAGTCCTGCTGGGCCCGGCGGGCACAGGCCCGCACCACCAGGTACACCAGCTCGGCCATGTTGAGGATGATGCAGATGCCTGAGGTGGCCAGCATGAAGACAGTGAAGATGGTCTTCTCGGTGGGCCGGGAGATGAAGCAGTCGACGGTGTTGGGGCACGGGTAGGCCTCACACTTGACCAGCCGGATCATCTGGTAGCCAGGGTAGATCATGTAGAAGATGTACATGAAGACAGCCTCGAAGAGGAGTCGGAATATCACGCTGCAGGTGTACGTCCACCACAGGGAGCCTGAGATGCGCATCTTGTGCTTCTTCACCTCCTCGAGGTGCTTGGTGTCGCCATGCCCTGTCAGCACCAGCAGCTTCTTCTCCTGGTGCTGCTGGTAGGCCACGTGCATGGCCACTAGCAGGGCGGGTGTGGTGACTAGGATCAGCTGCAAGGCCCACAGCCGCACGTGGGAGATGGGGAAGAAGTGGTCGTAGCAGACGCTGTTGCAGCCTGGCTGCTGCGTGTTGCAAGTGAAGGCAGTTTTCTCATCCCCCCAGACACTCTCAGCTGCCACCACCAGCACCATGATCCTGAAGATGAAGATGACAGAAAGCCAGATGCGCCCAATGGCAGTGGAATGGCGGTTCACGCCACTCAGCACTGTGTAGAGGCCTGCCCAATTCATCGTGCCTCACGCCTGCAAGAGACAGCAGCAGGAGGTCAAGTTAGCAGCCCAGAGACCCTAGGGATGGGCCCTGTGGGCTGAGAGGAATGGAGACCAGAGGCCAAAAGCAGTCGAGGCTCCAGGGGCAGCATTCACCATGCTTCTTACTTAGCCCTTTCCTCTGTTGACGCGAGTGTCCACAAGGCCTGGCCAGTGGCAGCTGGGGAGCCGACCACTCTGTACGTTAGGCCTGAGTGTCTGCAGGTGGGCACCCAAATTGAGTCACCACTAGCGACACTCTTGGTCTGAGTTTCTAGCCCTCGTGCTTGTAAAGGAAGCCTGGAGAATGTTGACCACTGAAACAAACACCATGCTCTCTGCCAGAGTCTGCAGGCAGTCTGAAACGAGCACAGGGAGGTGGGAGCTAATCCTGACACCTCAGTGAAGCGTTGACTCTGAAACCTAACGTAACGCCGACAGACCCTGGTTGTCAACGGGCAGGATCAAGCCTGGAGCCTCTGGAGCTTAGTGCATGAGCTTCTACAGCATGAGCTCAAAGACAACTGGCTCTTAGCTAAGGCTGTAGTGCAGACTCATTTTTTCTCTCTCTCTTAAAGTGCCGCTAAATGGGACAGAAACCACCCCCAGGAGGTGTGTGGGTTACACTCACAACGTGCTTTTCATTCTCGATATAGTTCACCCTCATTGCTGATCATTTCACAGGAGAATCCAACTAAGATGCTCATCCCCTCCCTCCTCCTGGGGCTCCCTAGCTCCAAACCCCCTGCCCTTGCCCCAGTTGTCTGACCCTCCAGCTTTGCCCTGTGATTTCAGCCCCCCGGCTGCAGCACGGTGAAGCTGACGAGGTAGGAGCAGCTTAGAATACATTGAATGTCATGTAGCGATTGAGGCCTGGGGAAGGTGTACTGATTGGATTGCTCATTTGCATATTAATTGCAGCAGTGCCCCCCTCCGCCCCGCAGGGCACTCTGGGTTGGGATTTAGGGCCTGCTGGCTGGAGGACAAGGGTGGGCCCTGACCTATGGGGCGGCTGTTCCCCCTCAGGAGTGGTGAGGGAGTGCAGCTTTCCCTGGCATGCGCCCTGGTTGCTGCTGTCCCCCAGCATGGGGGAGGCACAGTCAGGGACTCTGCTCTCCACCCGCAGCCTGGCCCTGCAGGAGCAGAGAGCTCAGGGCACAGCGCCCTGCTGCCTGCCCCCTTCTCCAGACTCTAGCCCGAGCCCTGGGAGAGCCAAGACCAGGAGAACGTGGCACAAACCATCAGAACAGAATGGCACCAGGACCCCTACGACTCCTCCCTGCCCCCTGCCCCCTGCCAGAGCACTGGGAGCAGCCGCTGTGTGCCCAGCGGACGAGTGTCCATCCCCCTGCTGGGGCTACCAGCCCCGGACGGACCCAGAAACACGACTTGCAGGCCATCGCCTGCCTCTGCCCGTCGGCTCCGCCTGTGCCACTGGCTCCCGTGCAGAGCTCTGCAGAGGGCCAAGAGCAGGAGACGGACCGGGGCCCTGTAGCGGCCATGTTACCTTGCGGTGAGGAGTGTGTCCTTTCTGAGCAGCCCAGAAGGGTCCCCGCTAAGCTCTCATGTCTCCAGGCAGGAGTGTGCGCGGCTCAGCCCCCCGTGCTGCCTGCCCTTGTCTCTATCTGCCGCTGCCCTGCACTGGGAAGTCATATGCTGCTTTATAAACTATTCACATACAATGAGGCCTTTATGGGAACAACACACTGTAGAATTCAGATCAAACGCCCTGACTTCCGCCTACCCCCTGCCAAACAAAGTGCCAGTGTCCTGCATTCCAGCCAGGCCCAGCCCTGTGCCCGCTCCCACCTTGCCCATGAGAACGAGTCTGGGTCCCTGCCCTCCTGGCATGCCGTCTGTGGCCAGGGACCCCACTGGGGTGCTCTCTCCACTGCCCCCTAACGGGCTCTGGGGACCACGGCCAGAGCCTCACACTGCCACAGGGAGACACCAGCTCACGGCCCATCTGCAGAGGTGATTGTCCCCAGGGCCCAGAGAACAAGCCGGGCTCTCGCTGACGGGATGGCTCCCCAGGGCCCAGAGAACAAGCCGGGCTCTCGCTGACGGGATGGCTCCCCAGGGCCCAGGGCCCCAGAGAACAAGCCGGGCTCTCGCTGACGGGATGGCTCGCCAGGGCCCCGGGGCCCAGAGAACAAGCCGGGCTCTCGCTGATGGGACGGCTCGCCAGGGCCCAGAGAACAAGCCGGGCTCTCGCTGACGGGATGGCTCCCCAGGGCCCAGGGCCCAGAGAACAAGCCGGGCTCTCGCTGACGGGATGGCTTGCCACGGCCCTGGGGCCCAGAGAACAAGCCGGGCTCTCGCTGACGGGACGGCTCCCCAGGGCCCCGGGGCCTAGAGAACAAGCCGGGCTCTCGCTGACGGGATGGCTCCCCGGGGCCCAGAGAACAAGCCGGGCTCTCGCTGACGGGACGGCTCCCCAGGGCCCTGGGGCCCAGTGAAGAAGCCGGGCTCTCGCTGACGGGATGGCTCCCCAGGGCCCAGGGCCCCAGAGAACAAGCCGGGCTCTCGCTGACGGGATGGCTCCCCAGGGCCCAGGGCCCCAGAGAACAAGCCGGGCTCTCGCTGACGGGATGGCTCCCTGGGGCCCAGTGAACAAGCCGGGCTCTCGCTGACGGGACGGCTCCCCGGGGCCCAGAGAACAAGCCGGGCTCTCGCTGACGGGATGGCTCGCCAGGGCCCCGGGGCCCAGAGAACAAGCCGGGCTCTCGCTGATGGGACGGCTCGCCAGGGCCCAGAGAACAAGCCGGGCTCTCGCTGACGGGATGGCTCCCCAGGGCCCAGGGCCCAGAGAACAAGCCGGGCTCTCGCTGACGGGATGGCTTGCCAGGGCCCCGGGGCCCAGAGAACAAGCCGGGCTCTCGCTGACGGGACGGCTCCCCAGGGCCCCGGGGCCCAGTGAAGAAGCCGGGCTCTCGCTGACGGGATGGCTCCCCGGGGCCCAGAGAACAAGCCGGGCTCTCGCTGACGGGACGGCTCCCCAGGGCCCTGGGGCCCAGTGAACAAGCCGGGCTCTCGCTGACGGGATGGCTCCCCGGGGCCCAGAGAACAAGCCGGGCTCTCGCTGACGGGATGGCTCCCCAGGGCCCAGGGCCCCAGAGAACAAGCCGGGCTCTCGCTGACGGGATGGCTCCCCGGGGCCCAGTGAACAAGCCGGGCTCTCGCTGACGGGATGGCTCGCCAGGGCCCTGGGGCCCAGTGAACAAGCCGGGCTCTCGCTGACGGGATGGCTCCCCGGGGCCCAGAGAACAAGCCGGGCTCTCGCTGACGGGACGGCTCCCCAGGGCCCAGGGCCCCAGAGAACAAGCCGGGCTCTCGCTGATGGGATGGCTCCCCGGGGCCCAGAGAACAAGCCGGGCTCTCGCTGACGGGACGGCTCCCCAGGGCCCAGGGCCCCAGAGAACAAGCTGGGCTCTCGCTGACGGGACGGCTCCCCGGGGCCCAGAGAACAAGCCGGGCTCTCGCTGACGGGACGGCTCGCCAGGGCCCTGGGGCCCAGTGAAGAAGCCGGGCTCTCGCTGACGGGACGGCTCCCCGGGGCCCAGTGAACAAGCCGGGCTCTCGCTGACGGGACGGCTCCCCGGGGCCCAGTGAACAAGCCGGGCTCTCGCTGACGGGACGGCTCCCCGGGGCCCAGTGAAGAAGCCGGGCTCTCGCTGACGGGACGGCTCGCTGTGGCCCCAGAGCTCCCTGGTGGCTGAAGCACACGATGTAGCGAGCAATGTTCAGGGGCCTGTCTCGGGAGCTCTGGTGCACAGCTGCTGCCAGGAGGTGGGTCAGAGGGCTGACTGGGGTGAGGCAGGCCAGCCCCTCACCACGGTGCAGAGCTGGTATCAGTCACTGTGGTGGCTTCTGACAAACATCTAGCAACTGGCAGCTCCTTCTTGGAACGAGAACACTGTGTCAGAGCCCAGTGTCCTGGCCGGGCATGCAGGAGCCTCCATTCTTGGGACCACCCAAGGCCTTGCATTGTCATGCCCTCTGCTGCACCGCGGGCCATAAGAGGCCAAGAACCGCCAGCCCGCTGTGCCGCGAGAGATGAGCGTCTGCCACGCCGGGGGAGACATCACAGCTTTGCCAGACAGCTCTGCAGGCAGGGGAGAGCAGCCTCTCTTGTGTCCCTCTTGCTGGGTACTGCCATTCCTGCACGTGCACCCCTCTGCAGCAGGGAGCGGGGCCCAGGGAGAGTCAGTGACTTCCCGGGTCACACAGCTGGCCGGGGCAGAGCTGGGAAATGATGTGCTGGGTCCCAGCCCGGTGCCCTAGCCACGAGCCCAATATTGACACATGGAAAGCCTGGCCCCTGCTGCAGGTCGGACTCCATGAGCATTGGGGCATATCTCTTTCAATAATTTGTGAGCGTCCCAGTGGCCTTCGCTGCACTGTGTGTTTGAGAAGCCCCCAGCCCCTCTGGAGTGGCAGTGGGTGTGGGGCTAGGCCCGGCACGGCATGCGGGAAGGGGTCTGAGTAATGGGACCCCTCTGCACCTGTGTGGGTCCTTGCTGCTTGGTTGTGTGAAGAGCAAAAATGGCATTCAGAATCTGCTGGCACCAGGGCCAGCCAAGCCAGCGGAGCGCGGCTCCTTGCTCGCGCCCCGGCACCCCTACAGGCTCCTGGGCCGCTCTCTAGGGAGGAGCTCCGGGCTCTGCCAAGAGCCCCAAGCACCTGGGACGGGAGACAGGGCAGGGCTCAGGCTGCCAGAGCAGAGCCGGCAGCAGGGCTAGTGCAGCCATGGGACGCGTGCTCAGGAGGAAGGTCTTGTGGGAGCCTCGAGCGCTGGAGCTCTGGAGGGCAGGGAGCTCCCCATTGCACCCAGGGGAGCAGGGGGCCCCACGGGGTGAGACAGGGCTCCAACGGGGGAGGGGATGCTCTCTGCTGCCGTCTGCTGGGGAGCTGACTGGGGGACAGGCCTCATTCGCATTTCAGTTCTACGGCATTTGGGGCTGTTTTGGTTAAAATACAGTTAAATTTTGAGTTTGTGGGCAATAAGACTCTTGACTCTCTTGGGAAAGGGCGGACAGGAGAACCGCCCCGGCGGCGCTGGGTCGCTCTGGCCCGGCTGGGAAATGGAGTGGGGTTATTTGCTGGCAAAGGCCGGGTGTCGCTGCTCCTGCGCTTAGCGGTGACTCCAGCTGGCCTAGCCTGGGCTGACGGCTGGTGCAGAGCTCAGGGGCGTTGCATGGCCTGAGACCAGCCACAAGAGCTCATCATGAGCCAGGTGCAGCGGCCGGGGAAGGCCTGAGCTTGGGCTGCTGGGCAGGCCCTGGGGCGGGAGGGTTTGACCTAAAGTCCCTATAAGCTGGGCGGCCGCGCAGCTGCCTATTAAGCCCCGCACAGGGCTGTGGCGGGGAGAGATGCCTCTCCCCCAGCATGGACCTGCCGCAGCCAGGGAGAAGTGTCTCTCCCCTGAGCCCGAGCTGCTGCAGTGAGAGAGGGCTGGGGGGAGTCCTCTCTCCCCACTGCAGCCCTGGGGCAGCCTGCACCCCCAAACCTCTCATCCTCAGCCCCACCCCAGAGCCCACACCCCAACTTCTGTCCCAGCCCTGAGCCCCCTCCCACACCCCAAACCCCTCATCCCCAGCCCCACCCCAGAGCCCACACCCCCCCCGCACCCCAACCCTCTGCTCCAGCCCTAAGCCCCCTCCCACACTCTGAACCCCTCGGCCCCACCCCTGCCACATGAATTTTGTTATTGCCCCAATATGAAGGTAATGTGTCACACATCGCCTCCATATTGATGCACATAACAAAATTCATTCTGCACATGGACATACAAAATTAGAGGGAACACTGGGTCTGACTGAAGGGGTGTAAGTGAATTATTACTTGCAGGTTGGCCCACGTTTATTGTGTTGTCTCCCCTCCCCCCAAGGGTTGGTTTTGAACCCCTGGGCACAGGGCTTGTGAGATGGAAGCTATTGCCTATCAGAGGCGCCCTGGGCGGCGTATATAGGTTCCCAAGTTTCTGAATGGGGGCTTGAGCTGAGGTTGAGCCTTTAGGAACCCCTAAAAAACTGAACCCAGCCTGTCTTGCTGCCGACTCCCCCCTGCCCTCGACAGAAGTGTTAAAATTATTTGTATTGTCGTCATGGGCCCGGCTGTGCCAGGTGCTGCACAAACTTAGACCATACGAGCCGTGCGCTGCAGGGCCTGGAAAAGGGAGGGACTTGACAACACTTTTAAGGTGGCCATAAATTATGAGCTAGCAGTGAGGAGGAAGGAGGGCTGAGACGTCCGTCCGTAAGAGGAGCTCTGCCTGCGGAACAGACAGCACCAGGGAAGGAGGTCTGGAGAGCTGCAGGGACATTCCTACCACACACACATGGTGACAGCATCAGGGAAGGCGAGGCAGGCAGAGGAGTCTGGGGAGATGGGCTGGGAGATGGAGGTGGACCGAGGAGCCTTGGAGGGGGTAAATGGGCTGCGGGGAGTAGGCGGGGAGCAGGGACAGTGATACCAGTGGGCGGGGCAGGCTAGACAGGGCCAGGGCTGGGCGATAATAGCAGTGGGGTGGGACTGGTGTTGCAATTCAGGCGTTACTAACTAGATATGTCTGAGCAGGGGCAGGGCAGGGGCTGTGACGCGCCCGTCTGGGCGCTGTTTCAGGGCTCAGCATTCAGGTCTCCCTGCTCCTAAGAGAGGCTGGAGCAGCCCAGTCAAAAGGCAGCAGAGAAGCCGGCTGGGGGTTTGTGGGGACAGGGACTCTCCGCTCTGCGGGGCAGATCTGGGAATGCAGCCGTGGAGGGCAGCATGAAGAGTAGGGCTGCAGGCCAGCCACGACCCAGTTCCAGCACGCCCAGGCTCTGTGGGGCAGTGTTGGCATTGGTCCCATGGCAGGGGCTCTGGGATAGAGGTCCCGACACAGCATTGCTTAGACGACCCTTGCTAGGGGCGCCCACATGCAGAGCCCAGAGGCAGCTTGCTGAGGTTACAGGAGTCGGCTTTGAGGGGGTGCAAGGAGCAGTCAGACCGGGCCAGCACTCCATGGCGGTAGGTCCCTGGGAGCTTCCCCAGGCACCAGCATGGCCACAGCAGAGCGCTCTGCTCCCAGACACGCACCGCGTTCCCTGAGAGGGTTACCAGGCTGCTGCCACCGCACAATGGTCCTGGCCACAGCAGGCCTGGCTTCGGCCAGAGGAGGGCCCAGTGAGAAGTCTTTTCCGAGCCAGCCTGAGAGGTTTGAACACACTTGAACCCTGACTGCCGCAGGCCAATGGCCCATCTCGGCCCATCTCCTGCCTCCGGCAGACGTAATCCCCATGTGCCCATGGCATAGCGTCCACCAGGCCAGAGACGAGTCACAGGGTGAGCTGGTCCTTCCGGGGATGCCAGATGCAGCCCAGCGCCCCATGGGGTCAGGGGACAAAGAGCCCACTCAGGCATGTGGGAGACAGAAGTGGACAGGCAGCCAGTGGGTTGGTGAGGGGGAGCTCGGCAGAGACTTGCAGGCTGAGATGCCCCAGCAGAGCCACAATGCTGGGGGGCTGAAGGAAAGCCCCTGAGGCAAAGGCAGCCCCAGAAAGGACTGGGCTCACCCTTCCAAGGCCTGCGGCCAAGGAGGAGCCCTGGGAGAGGCCCAGAGGGGAGAAAGAAAGTGGCAGAGTTTGCCACGAAGTGAGCAGGGAGGGCTGCCAGGGGAAGGAGCTCAGCTGCGCAGGGAGGGGCCCTGGGAAAGAGAAGAGGGCAGGCAGCTCTAAACAGAGAGTTCCCAGGCTGGGGAGCCCACCAAAGCGGGTTGTTGTGGGGCCCCCACACAGCCCAGGAAGGAGGCTGCCCCAGGAGGCTTAGGAGGGGTGAGTCCAGAGGATGGGCTGAAAAGGAGATGAAGAGAAGCGAGACCCTTGGGAAGCCAGGCTGTGTCTAGCTTACAGCGAGACAGGAAACTGGCTTGGTTTGGACTTTGATACCCCGTCAGGGGAGGGGCGGGGGCTGGAGGGCCAAGCCACCAAGAATTGGGGGTGGGGAGAGGGGAGCAGCTCGGGTACTTGCAGCGCCATTCTGTTCCACAGGGGGGTGGGCCCTGCTAGGTGGCTGGCGTCCTGACGAAGGTGCAGTGTGGGTTGTGTAACGAGCGTTCTTCTCCCCCGCCGAGATGGCTGTGCTCTTCGGAAGCCTCCTTCGGGCAGCACTGGTTTTCCCAGGCTGTCCCATAATGCAGGTTACATCTCTGGCACCCGACAATCTGGGTGTCGCTTGACAAGCCAAGGCCCCTCCTGTAGATTTCACAGGGGCAGGACAATCCTGGTGCTCAAAGTTGTCCACCCTTGTTCTGTAGCTACTAACTGCCCTGTTTCCGGAGCGTTCTGTTTATGGGAGAAGGATCTGATGTCTCAAGACTGGGATTTTGCAGAGCATGAACAGTCCTCTTCAAGAGTCTCCTGAAAAAATGATGGGCTATAAGTAACCACCTTCCCACCCGTGCAGTGAAATCAAACTGGGTCCAGTCCATGTTCAAAGTTGCTCTGTTTTAAAATCTCCCCTTTCCTTAAACAGGTATAAGGTACAAGGCCCTGCCTGGATGCTCTACATTCAGTGTAAATCTGGCTTGTATCAACGTAGCTTAGCTCACTTCCCCACTGACACAAGCCAGGCTTCAGTTGAATTCAGAGAGTCCACACAGGGTCAGTTCCCTTCAACCTGTTTACAAGCCCTTCTAGTTGCACAGGTGTGACGCTGTACAGGGGCTGCGGCAGGTGTCCTTTTCTCGGCTTGAGTCATGGGAGCTCTAAGGCTAGGCCAGTTTGTGTCCCTCTTCACAGCGAGTGCGCCCGGGTTCCATTGCCGTGGGCGGAGCTGGCCCAGGCTGTGGGGCGCTCTCAGGGAGGAAGCTACGGCAGCAGCGGGTGCTTTTCAGGGCAGTTCGTGTCGCATGAGGGGATGTTTGTGATCATGCAGAAAACGTAGCCCGGTGGCTAGCTGCAGAGGGGTGGTGAATGGCTGAATAGGAGTCGGGCCCTGATGGGGGTCAGAGTTAAAGCTGTTTTTTGATAAATCTGAGCTGCAGACAAACCACAGTATTATAATAAACCCAGGAAATGCCCACTGGGCCCAGCTAAAGGAAAGGGAAAGGACCTCATCCCTAAAGCAGCAAAGAACTTGGATCTCTTGAGCAGCTGTAAACCTGTCTGCTGGTCACCTTAGGGTCCTTGGGGGCAGTGCTTCCTCTAATTTTGTATGTCCATGTGCAGAATGAATTTTGTTATGTGCACCAATATGGAGGTGACATGTGACACATGACCTTCATATGGGTGCACATAACAAAATTCATGTGGTGGGGGTGGGGCCGAGGGGTTCAGAGTGTGGGAGGGGGCTCAGGTCTGGGGCAGAGGATTGGGCCACGGGCCCTGGGAGGGGTGGGGGATAAGGAGTTCAGGGTGCAGGAGGGGGCTCAGGGTTGGGGCAGAGGGTTGAGTCTGGGGGGTGCAGGCTCTGGGGTGGGGTCAGGGAGGAGGGGTGTGGGGTGCAGGCAGGGGGAGAGGCTCCTCTCTCCAGCTGCGGCAGCTCCGGTGGGCCTGGGCCAGGCTGAGGGAGGGGCTCCTCTTCCCCAGCAGCAGCAAGTCCAGGGCAGGTCTGCACTGGGGCCGGTGGGGAGGGGCACCTCTCCCCGCCGCAGCCCTGAGTCCCTGTGTGGGGCTTAATAGGCAGCTGTGCAGTCACACAGCTTAGAGGGAACTTAGCTTGTGAACCCTCTGAACTCCTGTGAACCGATAAAACCACCTTTAGGTGTGAGGGGAGAAAGGCCAGGCCAGCAGCCGCTGCCCAGGCCTGTGTTCAAGGCCTGCCTATGTGACCTGGGGCAAGTCCCCTGCCCCTCTGGACTTTAGCCCCTGTTTGTACAAGGGGGAGGGTGGCCCTGCCTGGCGCTCAGGGGTGTGTGGGGTGAGGAATGTGCCTGGACACCAGGATGCTGAGCCCATGGATGGCTGGGCTCCCAAATTCCCTGGCTTAGCAGCCCGGCTCTGAAGAGGTCTCCTTTGGTGAAGCTGCTGCTGTGTGTGGTGTGGCCCGGAGCCCCAGGCCCAGCCAGGCTTTGCCTGGGCGTTTCCTGAGCACCCAGTGCTGTGGAAGCCCCGAGAGAAGCCTGGCAGGGTGGGTACAGAGCTGGGCTGGGCTCTACTCCAAGCCAGACAAGAGCCTGAGCACTATCTCGCCAGGGCTTCCGGACCCACCCGGGGCAGTGACTAGGCCAAGCGGTTTCCAGAGGCGATGGGACTGGGAGGGCCTGCCTCGGCCTGACGAGGGGAGGCAGTGGGGGTGTTGTGCTGCTCACACCCCCTGAAACATGGGGGCGGGGAGTGTCGGGGGGGCACTCTGACTGCCAGAGTGCAGCCGAATTCTTGCTTTGGGGCTGCAATGGCCACTGAGGGACCTGGGGAGGAGTGTGAGCGCAGGGAGAGGGCTGCATTTCCCTGGCACTGTGCAGGGAAGGGGGAGGCCTTCCCCTGGCCTTGGAGAGTGGGGGGTATAGCACACCAGAGCTGGGCCGGGGGGCTGTGGGGTACAGGGGATGTAGCATACCGGAGCTGGTCGGGGGACTCTGGTAGCCGTGGGGAGCAGGAGGTAGCACAGCAGAGCTGGGTCTGGTAGCCATGGGGAGCAGGGGGGCAGTGGGGTAGCACACCGGAGCTGATCCGGGGGTGTCTGGTAGCCATGGGGAGCAGGGGGTAGCACACCGGAGCTGATCCGGGGGTGTCTGGTAGCCATGGGGAGCAGGGGGGTAGCACACCGGAGCTGATCCGGGGGTGTCTGGTAGCCATGGGAAGCAGGGGGGTAGCACACCGGAGCTGATCCGGGGGTGTCTGGTAGCCATGGGAAGCAGGGGGGTAGCACACCGGAGCTGGGTCTGGTAGCTGTGGGGAGCAGGGGGGTAGCACACCGGAGCTGGGTCTGGTAGCATGTGATAACATGTGGCATGTGTGGAGATGAGCAAGCCCCAGGCTGGAGGCAGGGACTGGCAGGAAGCCTGTGCTGGGAGTGACCCGACGGGGATCCCCCCGTCAGCGGCAGCCTAGCACCAGCCTCTTCCAGTGGCTGACAGTGCCTAGACCGAGGCCCTAGACCAGGTAGATGAGACACTGCCTCGGGGCCCCCCCTCACTGGGCACCGACCTCGCTGGGCACAGCAGGTCTGCCGGGAGCGGGAGTGACCTGCTGCCTTTTGCGGAGGCACAGAGGGTTGGTGGGCTCTCAGGCTGCCTCACTGGAAATGTCCCAGCACCCAAGAAGAGACCCCCAGCTTCCAGCCCAGGTGTGGGTCTGTGCCCCACTCTTCCCCAGCCAGGTGCCACACAGGGCAGCACAGCAGCCCTGGGCAGGGGGGAAGGACCTTCGCTTGGAAAGCAACTGGAGCATGCTGGGAAATGGCCTGGGATGTCCCCCAAGACGGTCAGCGTGCACTGGGCATTGGTGGGAGGGGGATCCCTGCCCCTGGGGGGTCAGCACGCTCTGGGCATCATTCTGGGGTTGGCAGCAGGAGAAGCACAAAGGCTCAGCTGTGGCCCGTCTGCCTGAGGAGCGCGGGGTGGGTGTCAGATGTGGGAACAGCAGGCTTGGAGGCCCCTAGGAGAGAAGCAGGCTGGATCTGAGGTTTGTCTCCTCTGGCCCCAGGTTCCAGATCTGGGAAAATCCAGCAGCTGTGCCGAGGGGTCTGCACCACCCCAAGGAGCTGCTGGATATTGCTTAGAGCCCCTGAGCTGGGATGGTAGCTAGGGCTTCACAGGGCCGCTGGCTTGGGCTGCAGAGCCCTTCAGAGGTGTTTGTGAGCTAGCTGCCCATATGATAAAGGTGGCTGGAGAACAGACCTTAGCAGGGACTGCCAGAGGAGTAAATCCGCTCTCTCTCCTGCAACCAAGCTCATGCCTCCTGGCTCACAAGTCGGGCACATCCCTGGCAGGAAGCTGGATAACGTCACCCTCTGTTCCCTGCCGACCCAAACTGCTCCTCCAGCTCGTGAAGGGACGGGGGAGGAAAGAGACCCCCTTACCCAGTCCAAGGAGAGGGGAGAACTTGCCTCAGCTGGGCTGGGCTGTGAAAGGAGACCCCTCAGCTAGGGAGGTTACCCCTGGGGACCGCTTGCCTAGGGCTCTTGGGGCAGCATGGAGAACTGTGAGCCAGAGCCCTGCGCCGGGCCCCCGCTCCCAGGGGATGGGAGTTGGGGACCAGCCTCTGGAGAAGGCTGAGGCAGCACGTGCTGTGGAGGGGGCCCCAGACTCACCACTGGCACCGAGGAACAGGTAGGGCTCTGTGCAATTGTCCTCTTGAAAGTGCTTTGCTTCAGCAGAGCTGGGACCTTTATACTGGCCCTCCCCTGCTGCAGGAGGCCAGCCCTCAGAATCGACCAGGGAGTGGGGCTGACGCCATCCAGCCTTGCTCACTTTCCAGGTAAACAGCCTCAGGTGTGTCCAGCTGTGCCACTTGGCTGCCAGCCCTGCCCTTCTGCAGGATCCTCACCCTGGGCCCGGTAGACGGGCCCACACTCACTGACTGCCACAGCCCATCCCTGGTCAGCCATTAGCCACGTGCCCCCCGCCTCATGCCCCCCGCCTCATGCCATGGCAGCTGCACCAGAACTAACTGCTGGGCTTGGACTCCTCAGGCACGCGAGAGCCCAGAGCTGGCAGTGCCAGGCCCACCCGCAGGGGAGCTTGGGAGGGCCTGGACTCGACTCCAGCTGGGGGCTGCAGCAGTCCGAGATTCCCTGCAGGGGCCCCCAGGCAGGGGCCCCGGGCCCCTGAACCTCTCCTGTCTCCACATGTCAATGGCTGGTGGGGTCCCCATCACCCAGCACTCAGTGCCTCAACCCAGGCCTCCCGGCTTCCCTGGGACACTGAATTTCAACAAGTCCAACCCTGCTGTGGGCAGCTGCAAAGGCAAATACAGGCTGTAACCGATTAACTCGGACACTGGGGCCTGCGCCCAGCTCCAAGGTCTCTGCAGTGAACACAGAGCCAAAACCAGCCTATGCAATCCCTGGCGTGTGGTGACCCCCGGACCCTGGCTCCTGCTTGGCCCAGGAGGGAACAGCAAGAAACGTAGCTTCCAAATTTGGCACTAGCCTTCATCTCAGCTCGGAGGCCGGGCACCGAGCCAGGGCCCTCTGCTCCTGGGGCAGCTGGACTCTCCCCTACCCACTTCCAGCACAGCCAAGGACCCAGCTCCCAGCCTTCAGGCAACATGACTTGTGGGGGACAACCTGGTGTGGGGCAGGAGAGGGTTGGGAAGGACGAGGTGGCAGGAGAAGCTGGGGGGCTGTGGGTGTTGGTTTGAGAGTGCTGTGTGGGCATCATTGGGGGTGACTACGTTAGAGTTGGTTTGGAAGGGCAGTTGGGTAGGACAGCTATGGGGCTGGTTAGGTGTGGCGGGTGGGGATAGTTTGAAGTGGTGTGTGGGATAGAGGATTGTGTTAGGAGGGACTGTATTAGGTAGGGTGGTTAGGGATTGGGGGGCTGTCGGTGGGTTGTTAGAACTGAGGAGTCATGTTGGGTGTGCTGTGGGGGGCAGTAGGTTGTTTAGGTTGGGAGGGCTGTCAGGGGGGTGCTGTCTGGGGGGCAGTATCAGGAGCTGTGTCTGAGGGGGTGGGGGACTGTGGGGGGTCAGGTGAGGCTGGGTGGGGAGCTGTCTGGGGGGCTGCATCAGGGACATTGGGGGGCTGGATGTGGAGCTGTGTCTGAGGGGGCTGGGGGGTCAAGTGCGGGGGTTAGTGTTAGGAGGAGGTGGTGGGTGGGATTAGCTGGGGGGGCAGTTGTCTAGGAAGGCTGGCCCAGTGGGTAGGGCACAAGCCTGCGTGAAGTCCTAGGTTCAGTTCCCCACTGGCCCACACTCCTCCTATGGAGCCTGGGCATGTCCCACAGGGGCCATGTGCACTGCAATCAGACACCCGCTGACCCAGGCTTTTGGGATGGGCACTAAGGGGCTGTTGCACTAGGATGTGGATGCTTGGGCTTGTCCTGGAGCCTAGGCTCTAGGACCCTATGAGGTGAGGGGTCCCAGAGCCGGGCTGCAGCCTGAGCCCCCAGGGCAATTAATCAGCCCCATAGCCCTGGAACAGCCCCCCACCCGCCCGCGCACACACACACACACACACAGGGGAGTGAAGCAGGGCAGAGGATCAGGTCTTGCCAAGGGGTGGCTGCCAGCAGCATTATCTCCTGGCTCAGCGCTTGCCTCTGCCCACAGGAAGGGAAGGGCCTGGAGCAAAGTGTAAGCCAAACAATGAGCACAGATTACGAAGCTGAGCTCTGCAGAGAATGTCCAGCTTCTGCCAGCAGGGGGTGATGTTGGAAGTGGGGCAGGTCCCTGGCTGTGGGGGAGCTCCCAGCTACTCCTGCCTGTCCCAGCAGGGGGTGCTGTGGGGGCGGGCCAGGGCCCTGTCTGTGGGGGGAGCTCGCAGCTGTTCTGGCTTCTCCCAGCAGGGGGCGCTGTGGGGGCAAGACAGGGGAACCGTCTGTGGGGGGAGCTTCCAGCTGTTCCAGCCTCTCCCAGCAGGGGGCGCTGTGGGGGGCGAGGCAGGGCCCTGGCTGTGGGGGGAGCTCCCGGCCTCTCCCAGCAGGGGGCGCTGTGGGGGCGGGCCAGGGCCCTGTCTGTGGGGGGAGCTCGCAGCTGTTCTGGCTTCTCCCAGCAGGGGGCGCTGTGGGGGCAAGACAGGGGAACTGTCTGTGGGGGGAGCTTCCAGCTGTTCCAGCCTCTCCCAGCAGGGGGCGCTGTGGGGGGCGAGGCAGGGCCCTGGCTGTGGGGGAGCTCCCGGCCTCTCCCAGCAGGGGGCGCTGTGGGGGCGGACCAGGGCACTGTCTGTGGGGGGAGCTCGCAGCTGTTCCGGCTTCTCCCAGCAGGGGGCGCTGTGGGGGCAAGACAGGGGAACTGTCTGTGGGGGGAGCTTCCAGCTGTTCCAGCCTCTCCCAGCAGGGGGCGCTGTGGGGGGCGGGGCAGGGTGTAGAACTAATCAATGAGATTGGTTTTAATTGTTCATTTTATTAATATAACTTCATAAGCAACGTTTTATGAATGAAACAACATTCATTCATAAAACCGGTTACCCCAATAACTGGCTAATTGAGTTTCACTTTCAATCCAATTGCTGCTTAAATCGCTGAAACTTACACTGTTTCAACATTAAGAACAGGAGGTCTTGTGGCACCTTAGAGACTAACAAATTTATTTGAGCTTAAGCTCTTGTGAGCTACAGCTCACTTCATCGGATGCATTCAGCTGTAGCTCATGAAAGCTCATGCTCAAATAAATTTGTTAGCCTCTAAGGTGCCACAAGTCCTCCTGTTCTTTTTGTGGATACAGACTAACACGGCTGCTACTCTGAAACCTGTTTCAACACTGTAACTTCTGCTCACTGTTTGCCATTCCTTACACTTGTCCATATTGTAACTCAAACTCCATTTTAACTTGTCCCAAACTTCATTTTAAAATGCTCACTCCATTTTGTAAATGCTGCAACCTTCATTTTTGAAAAACCTGGCTGTAATCTGATGAGTGTAGTTTAGATGTGTGAATGAGGTAAGTATGGATGATGGAATGAATCAACTCCAGCCCCAGCTTGTCCTGATGAAATAAAGTGTAAACACCCAATGGCTGAAGATGCAGATAACAGCTCTGACAAAGTAAGAGGAGTCCACCCTCAAAAGAAAAGAAAAAAAATACAATTGAAAAAACATCAAAGCCAGGTCCTAGGCTGAAAGTCATGTCTGCAATTGATGGGTGATCAACCACACGGGACCCAGAGGCAGAGTTAGCCTGGCCAGTTAGCTGCCCCAAGCTACGAACCCAAGCTACAAACTGGTAACTATACAGCAGCTGCAGCACCTGTGTGTGTGTATGAATGAATGTGTGAATGAATGAAATGTTATAGCTATTACCAACTGGCTACTGAATGCATCCGATGAAGTGAGGTGTAGCTCACGAAAGCTCATGCTCAAATAAATTGGTTAGTCTCTAAGGTGCCACAAGGACTCCTTTTCTTTCTGACTGCCTACTATGATTCTTTCTGTGTTCACAATAAATGTGACATTTTGTTTTATCCCCTTTAATAAGATCCTGCTGGTTTTTATTTTATTGGTATAACAAGGGCCCTGGCTATGAGGGGAGGCCCTGGCTGTGGGGGGAGCTCTCGGCGTCTCCCACCAGGGGAGCTGGTTGTGGCTCGCAGTGTAAGCAGGGCAGTGGCTAGTGGGGGTGGGGCGGGGTGAGTTGCCAGGCTGGGCAGGGCCTGGGGGTGGTGGCCGGTATAAAACTGGCTGAGTCAGCTAGATGCAGCCTGTGGCTGGTGCACTGCACCCTCCCTCCGCCCCATCTGTGCCCCCCAGCTACCATCTCCCCTCACTCTCCTGCCTGACCCCCTGAATACAAGGGTGGGGTGTAGAGCCAGCGTAGCCGTGGGTGGAAGGGGACAGGGGCTGGCATAGCTGTGTTGGGGGGGGTCAGGAGCCTGTTCCCCCTGTAGTTAGAAATATAGGCTGTGACAAAGTGGGACTGTTCTTAATGGTTCCTTTGAATAGTGTGGGGGTGCCTCAGTTTCTCCCATGCAGTTCTTAAGTATCTAGGGGGTGGGATAAGGGTGTATGATAGTTGCAGAGCCCTAGAGGGCAGGTGTGTGCAGGGGTCTGGATACAGAGAATGGCCAACACCCTGTTTCCTGGCCACTGATGGCCTGGCCCTTCCCCCCTGCAAGGTGAGAGCTAAAGGGTTGGAGAACAAAGGAGTCAGGTGACCTCCTGACCCGGGAAAGGGACAAAGCCCAGAGGAGCGGGGGGCTGGAGGGAGTTTCAGTTTTGGGGCTGGCTGGGACATGGAGTGAAGGGCAGTCGTGGTTGTCTGGCGCACTGCCCCCCAAAATGGACCCGGCTGAGGGGTCCTGTTCTCTGCACCTACAGGCTCTGTGTTAGACCATGTTCCTGTTGTCTAATAAACCTCTGTTTTACTGGCTGGCTGAGAGTCCCGTCTGACTGCGGTGTCGGGGGGCAGGACCCTCTGGCTTCCCCAGGACCCCGCCTGGGTGGAAGTGCACGGAGGGGCAGAGGATGCTGAATGCTCCGAGGTCAGACCCAGGAAGGTGGAAGCCGTGTGAGCTGTGTGTCCTGCAGACAGGCTGCTCATAGGAAGGCGACTGCCCCAGAGTCCTGCCTGGCTTCATGGGGAGCAGCTCCAGAGCATCGCCCGGGGACTCTGTGACAACTGGTGGCAGCGGTGGGATGTACTGCACCCCGTGGATGGCGCTTCCTGCAGTAAGTGACTGGGGAGCAGTAAAACGAAGGGGGATTGACGGGGACCAGGTGTGCTGAAGATTCAGAGAGAGACGGTTTCAGGGGACGGTAACCCCTGGGAGTGTGTGACCAGAGAGAAGGACTTTTGCAGTAACAGGGTCCCCCGGGGGATTGCAGCGAGCGGTCCCAGGGGCGGAGGACTCTGCAGCTCGACCCTGGCAAAGAGGAGGTGACCTCGAGAAGGGCTGGCACACTAGGGGTTCTCCCTGGAAACCGTGGGAAGCTGAGAGCACACAGGCCTGTGAGTCCACAACAACTTGGGAACAGTGGAGTGATGGCCTATCACCATCTCCTTAAGAAGGACATTGTAACCCTGTACAAAAAGAGAGGGTTACACATTGGAAATTTCACCAAGGCACAGTTAATCGTGCAGCTGGAGGAGGATGACCGCTCTAAGGAACAGATTCCTGACCCCAAATGGGGCTATAGCAGGATCTGGGAGCAGCTGGAGTGGGAGCCAGGCATCGCCAAGACTCCTGTCCCCGACCAGACGGGGGTCTTCAGGATTGGGTTCCCCATCGGGGGATCGGAGACGGACGGGATTGGAGCTGAGTCCGAGAGAGCAAGAGGACCGTGGGAGACAGCGAGAGCCCGAGAAAGAGCTGCAGAAGCAGCAGCAGCATGAACTGGCGATGGGGGAGTGGAGAGGCATAGGGGACCTCCCCGGGGTGAGTGGGGATAGACCCCGGGGGGCCAGTTCCGCAGGGAACCTTGGGAATAAATTGCTGCCCCTGGTTAAGGACGGTGGGGATGTGGATTCCCACCTCACTGCCTTTGAGCAGGCTGGAGATTTGAACGAGGGGGACCCTGCGGAAAAGCCCCGGTGTCTAGCTCCCTTGCTGGGTCCCAAGGCCGTAGACTCAGTCAGCCAGATGGGTGGGGATGTGGACAGGCTCCCACTCCTGGTCCCAACCTATATGTCTGTGTGGAGTTTCCTGGGGTCAGGCCCCTCGGACCTCCAGTGGGAGTGGAAGGTGATGGTCAATGGAGAGACATTCCTGGGGTGGCGAGATCCTGGGACAGAGAGAACTGGTGTCAGGCCCTGGGTGGTGCAGCCTCAGAGGCTGAGGGGCTGTGTGAGCTGGGTGAGGGTCC